TTTCATCATTATTTCTTTTCCTCCTTACTTTTTCCCTTGCATTGTGAGCATTCAATAAAACTTTCAAATTCGCCATTTTTATTTTTCGATTCTTCTTCGTGACACATTTTACACGTGTGAATGATTACCTGGAAACAAACGAACAAACAAAAAAAAAAAAATTTTAATTTTCCAGCGATAACAATAACAAAACGATTCGCCGTCACGACGACAATTAAAACAAAACAAGAAATTCCAGCAAGATGACTCTTATTCAAAGTTCATGACCTTCGAGATGTTTATCCTCTCGAAGCAGAAGAAAATTAATTTTTCCAAAAGTTTACGAATTTCCGACGTCCGACGGAAAACATTCGCTCTGTCAAATATTAAAAAAAAAACTTGAAAAACGAATGAGCCCTACGCGATACCACGTGATCAAATGGGGGTCTACATCGCGGTCACTGATAACGATAACGAACCTAAACAAAAGAAGACTGGAAAATTCAACTGGAAAATCGTTTCGAAAACATACGCGCACGCAATCGTGGAAAACACATCCGATCCCGAGCATAACTCGAGCAAAGCCCTTGTAAGGAAAACTCACACGAAATTTTCTCGTGATAATATTAATAATAATATTAAAGATCGCAATGGAAATTCCAGTGAAAATTCCAGTGCTCGAGAAAAAAAAAACCAAAAAAAAAAAATTTTTTTTAAATCCGACGAATCTTGTTTTTTAGAGAAAAACCTGGAACGGATGCTGAAAAGACTCCTCCGACACTCGTAAAGTTTTATTAATGATAATAATAATAATAATAATAATAATAATAAGCCAACGGCCATAGCGTGCTGGTCACACCGGTTCCCGTACGATCACCGAAGTTAAGCAGCATCGGGCGTGGTGCAAACTTGGATGGGTGACCGTTTGAGAACGCCACGTGCTGTTGGCTTAAAAGAGCAAAAAAAAAAAAAAAAAAAAATGAGAACAAGACAAAGTAAGAACCAAAAACAAAATCTTGTTCTACTGTCGACCTGAGGCAGCTCGACGAGAATGTGAATTTCACTGCTTCTGACCCTGGCCACTCCAAAGATGTTAGTCACCGGAGCCCAGTTCAGGAGACAAATCGTTCCCATCGAATAAAGATGGACTCAGGAAGACTTTCAAGAATTGATGTGGTGCTATCTTATAATAAGTGGCACCACCAAAATTCGAGTATTTGTCCCTAAGGAATCGGGTAGAAACCTGGGATAAATACTTAAAAACCCCGACAAATAAGAGCCTTGTCGTGTTTAATGGTGGATAATAATAATAATCGAAACGTCATCATTCGTAAAGATTTTTATCAAAACATTATATTACAAAATCTATATGTAAATAAATAACCGTCGAAATAAAATTAATTTATTTGTTTGTTTTGTTTTTTAAAGTAACTGTTTTCTTCTTCTTCTTTTTTTTTTTTTTAACTTTTATCGAAGTAACAAACGGACAAACAAACAAAATGAAAAATCATCCGTCGAAAAAAAAAAAAAAAAAAAAAAAAAAAAACAAAATGTCGTCGTCGTCGTCGTCGCTAACAAAATAAAAATTTCACGCGTGATTTAATTCGATTTCGATTATGACAAAATTGACGAGTCCGAAACTTGTCTTCTCTCTCTCTCTCGCACACACACTTATATTCGATTTCGAAGGTCCTTTTCTTTCATTTTCATTTTACTTCCCTTACGCGCATACACGACATCGTTTTTCCTCATCATACCTTCCTCTCCCTTCCTTCGTCTTATCCCATCATCACGTCAATCTCTCGCTCTCTCTCTCTCTCTCTCTCTCTCTCTCCTGGAGAACGAGGCAATCAAATTAAAATATAATATAATAACTTTATGAAATGAGAGAGAGAGAGAGAGAGAGAGAGAAAAATAAGATTCCGACCGTGTTGGACGTCTTGCATCCAACATAATAATATTATTATTATTATTATTCATACGATATTGAAAACTTAATAATTTCCATTTTTAGTTACTAACACACAAATAATAATAATAATAATAATAAAGAAATAAAATTATCAACGTTCCAAAGAGAGAGAGAGAGAAAGAGAGAGAAGGACAAAGAGATAATATGACCATCTTGCTATAAATGGAAACAATATTATTAATATTAATAATAATAATAATAATAATAATAATAATAATAATAATAATAATGATGCATAAATCATGATTCGTTGATAATACGGTCACGTGATTTAATTTTTTAAATGAACAAATTTGTGTTTTTTTTAAATAGTTTTTTACGTAATAAACGAACCAACTCCTACAACCTTCCGGGCATTGTTTTCAATATTTATCTGTTTGAATCTCGCACGTGAAAACAACTTTGAAAAGAAGAAGAAGAAGAAGAAGAAGACAAAGAGAAAGAGAATGAAAGAAAGAAAGAAAGAAAGAAGGAAAGAAAAATATTTGAGATTCTTTACGAAAAATCACGATGAAAATAGAAAAAGAAGACAGAGAAAGAGAGAGAGAGAAATTATGTACTATTATCAGATCTAAACGAAACGAAAATAAAAATGAAAAAATCAAAAATGCCGACGACCGGAAACGGAAATACCCAAAAATGTTTTTGTTTTTTTCCTTCCCGCGTTTTTCACGTTTCAAAAAAAAAATTTCTCGATAGTCTTTTCCGATTACCGTTTTTTAATTCGATTTTTTTTTAACTAAATATTTCCTTAACGAGTTCGAGTTCGATATCGATTTCGAGTTTAAAAAAAAAAAGAGAGAGAGAGAGAGAGAGAGAGAGAGAAAGAAAGAAAATGACCGATGGCAAAACATTCTTGGGATTTTATATTTTGTGACATATTAAAAGAAAAGAAAAGATTTTCATCTTTGATCTCCATTACGGATATACGAAACCTCGGAGTTATCCATAATGAATTTTCTTATTCTCTTAATCCTTTTTTTTAAACCCATTCTTTAATCTTTTAATCTTTAAATTATCCTTTTTTAAACTTTTTTTTTTTTTTTACGATAATTAATTTTTTTAAAATAATTCTTTCGTCTACTAATTAGTAATTTTTTTTTGATACTCGAAAAAACGAAACAAGTATATTGTAGTGTTTTCCCCCTTCCCCCCTCCCCCCGTTTCCGGAATTTCGAATTTCCGTTCATCATCCCGAAAAAAAAAGAAAATGAAAAAAAAAAAAAAAAAGTTTGACTCACCCTCATTCCCGCATCCGGTTTTTCTTCTTTCACGTGCATCAAACCATCATCTCCGTCGACTCTTTTCAATTTGATGGCCGCCAATTTCAATTTCGGGGGTCTCCCCAATCTTTTTTTAGGCTCTGATGACGTCACCGTCGGCGTCGACATAATTTTTCCTCTTCCTCTACCCTTTGGTGTTTTTATCACCCCCGTGTCTTTGATCGTCTTTATCACGACCACTTCCTTTTCTTCGATGATTTCTTTTTCCGCCTTGACATTTTCTCCATTTCCTTCGTCTTCGATTGTCGAATTCGATTCCTCCGAATCTTGCGTTTCCTCGCTCGAAGATGAACTGATTTAAGTAAAAAAAAAAAATTTTAATTTCATTTCTTTCGTCGTACCTTTCCCTTGGGAAGGAACAACTGGAAACCATCTTACCTCGATTCGTCCGAAGAACTGGAATCGTCGATTTCCGATTGGCTTCCGTCGGATCCTCCCCGTAGCGTGAAATGTCTTTCGTTAGGTCTCAGAGGACCGTAAACGACAGTGTTGAGCGGAAAATATTTCAACTCGTTTGACGTGTACCTAGAAAATTTATTATTATCATTATCGAAATTCCAAAAAAAAAAATAATAATTTCCGTTTCCGGTACTCACTTTTTATAATAATCCGTATTCTGTCCGGGTATGAGTGCGACGGGATAATTTCCCGGTTTTCCCAATGATATTTTTTTAAAACGATTCGCTGGAAAATGTACGGTAAACGTCTGGAGATCAAAACAAGAAGCTCTTTTTTCCCTGGAAAATACCACAAAAAAAAAAAAAAATGAAAATTTCTTTGTTATCATCATTATCATTATCATTATTTCGTTTTTTTTGTAAAAACGGAAGTGGCAAAAACATCATCATCATCATCATCATCTTTTCCAGACTTGCGTCATCGTGGAAGGACAAAAATTTTTTTTTTTTTTTTTTCTCATCGTCGACAAACATCAACCCGAGTCGGATTAAATCGCTTGACAAAAAAAAAAGACGACAACGACGACGACGACGACGATGACGATGACGACGAAGATGATGATGATGATGATGATGATGATGATGATAATAAAATTAAAAAAAAAAAAAAAAAATTTAAATAAAAATAAAACCCGAAGGAATCGTGGTAACCCTATTAAAATGCAAAATAAAAAAACAGGTTTCGCTAACGACTCATTAAAGAATTTTTGATTTATTCACCGCGATACCATCTCAATTTTCATCCATCTCTCTTTCTCTCTCTCTCTTCTTTCCTCATCCTCTCTCTCTCTCTCTCTCTCTCTCTTTTACGTTTCCTCAGGTCGTAACTTTAAGTTAATTAGTCGAACAATCGAATAACATTTAAACAAAAAAAAAAACAACAACAACAAAAAGAGGAAACGGTTTCTTATTATTCGATCGTACTCGAATTTCCTCCTGGAAACGACTGGAAAAACTTGAGAAAATCCCTTCTTTTGTAAATTTGGAAAACCCGAAAAAAAAATCCAGCGTGGGCACACGCTTATTTTCAGGCTTGGAAACCTTTGAAAAAAAAAAAAAAAAAAAAAAATACTCCTCGCATCAAATCAAACAGTAAAATATGTAATTTATATTTACATATAAAAAGATTTTCCAGGACGATAAGCCATTGGGGTGGTCTGCGGACATTTTGGTTTTTTTTTCTTATGCAATTAAAACTCGTTCGACTAATTTAGTCCTTTTTAGTTTTTTTTTTTTTTTTTTTAATGAATGAATAATGAATTACGGTACGCGGTTGTTGTTGTTGTTGTTGTTGTCGTTGTTGCCTACAGTAACGCTATGATGGCACATTATTATCATCATCATCATAATTATCGATTCTTATTGATTAATTTCGTTGCACGAGTGAAAACTGCTGAAAATCTATCGAACCTTTGTGCGTGACGTCTTTCTCTTTCTCTCTCTCTCTCCCCTTCTTTCTTTTAACACCCGAGTTTACCTCTCTCTCGGTTCTATCCTCTAATGATGACCCGTGACGAACCGTGACACAGTTCGTTCTCCTTCCGAACGGACATTTTTTTTTTTTTTCAAACCCTTTTTTGTTTTGAATTGCCGACGGTTTCGAAATTATAACGAAACCGTTTATTTTTAATTATCTCGTCATATATATCGCTTCGTTTCCTCCTCGACCTCGTGGTCGTAATAGTTTTGACACGCCTGTCGAATTTAATTATCGCGTTGTATGCGCGTTATAAAATCATAAATCCGAGTGAACAAAAAAAAAAACGAAATTTTTCCTACAAACGCACGGAACAAACAAACAAACAAACAAACGAACGAATCCTTCCACGTTGATTTATTTTTTTTTGTTGTTATTATTAATTTATTGCAGTGTAGCCAACGTAAAATAAACAAGCAGACGTTTTTATCAATTTAAAAACAATTTTTGTATCGACCGTTAATTTTGAATTGATTAACAAAAAAAAAAAAAAAACAAATTTCCGCTGCAGCTCTTGCTTCTTCTACTGCTACTGCTACCACTACTACTACTACTACTACTACTACCAGGATCTAAAATGGCCAAGTACAATGCAAACGTAAGAGTTGGAAATTGGTACAACGAATTAATGTTGCAAAATGAAAAAACGAAACAATACGTGAGAAAAACAAAAAATGGCGAACTCAAAGTAATAAAAGCTCGACAATTATTCATTGCTCTATTGAAAGAAGTTCCTCTTTCGTTTCCATTCGAAGGACTCGCATACGGTGCCATCTTACAAATCGTTTGTAAGTTTCCCCCTCCCCCCCAAACAAACAAACAAACACTTCACTTTACAATTATTTATCGTGTGATAAACGATTTCGTTCCAAGCCCGTGAAAATCCTCCGCGTACGATATTCAAAATAAAAGAAAAACAAGGGATCGTCATGTCCGCCATAATAAGCTATCAGGACAGCGATGTGAGGACGACGTTTGCCGAAAACGATTCCGTCGTCGGCACTGGAATATTGACCCCTTGCTGTCGCAACACATGGACACTCGTGCCGGAAGACGAATCCCGACACGGTAAAGAAATCCGTTTCGGAGACATTTTCTACATAAAATTGGCCACGAGCGATCTTCCCCTTTACGTCTACGCTTTATCCGACAATCCGGGATTGCAAAAGGGTAAATGCAATCATCCCACTCTCAGACTATCGTCGGAAATAAATCCACTCATGAGGTGATATGCACTAATATATATATATGTTTCCCCTAAAACCTAAATATAAATTTTTTTTTTTGGGGTAGTTCAGAATGAAAATCATTCACGTGAATCCCCAGATGAGAGGGGATAACGAAGGAAATCCCGTTCCCGCGTTTGAAAACATAATCATCGTACAAGCCTCGTCGACGAAAGCTTTGGCTGTCGAGTACGATTCGTGGCTTGCCAATTATTTTGGCATGGAATGCGAATTGTCCGCTCACACGTATAAGGACCTCAGTCATCCCAAAATTCCGGATCCCAGAAATTTTTGGTCGTTTTTACTTTCCACCCCTTGACAATAATGACGGGGATCCGTTGAGCGTTGATAAAAATCTTCCTCCTCATTTCGAAAATTATGACCAGAAGAATTTCCAATAATAATAATAATAGTAATAATAATAATAAAATTCCATTCGTGATGATAATTTTCTTTTTTTCTTCTTCCGACGATAAACCAAAAAAAAAATCCCTTCTCGCTTTGGAATCCCTCGTCAGGATGTGATGATGATGATGATGATGTCACGTCGTCGATCGACGAATAAGAAAAAAAAAAAAAAAATTCGAGAGTTTTATACACGGTGGGAAAATTTTTGACACTTTTTTTTTCGTGACAGTCAGTCGTAACAACCACAACAACAACAACAACAACCAATCCGATTCAACAAAAGGCGACAATAACAATTAAAAAATTATCATTCATTAAAATCCTGAGTTAATTTTTTAAAAAAAATGACGGATGAAAATACGACGACGACGACGACGACGACGACGACGATGATGATGATAATAATAATAATAAGGCGGCATGAATACATAAACGGGTGCGTGTCTGTTTCTGTGACGTCTTTTTCTTTTAATCCTGTGACTTTAAAACCTAGAAAACCTTACAGGATTTTTTTTCTTTTTTTTTTTTTTGAAAAAAGGTTGACCGCCATTTATATTAACTCTCGATAATAAAAATTGTCTTTCGTAAAATAATAATAATAATAATAATAATAATAATAATAATAATAATAATAATAATAATAATAATAATAATAGTAATAATAATAATAATAATAATAATAATCCTTCTTTGACTTCGTGCCCCTGACGTTTTTTTTTTTTTTTTTTTTTAAGACTTGCCGGACGAGTTTTTACCTTTTTTTTTTTTTTTTTTTCTTAAAAATTTTTTTTGAATGGATCCATTGTTTCCGTGAATAAAATATTCAATAGATCATTAAGAAAATAAAAAAAAAAATTTAAAACTTCATCGCTTTGAGGTTCGATGGTATATATATAGAATTCATTATTATTATTATTATTATTATTATCATTTTTTTTTTTTGTTCAACGAAATTTTAAACGTTTTTCGTTAAAAAAAAAAAACCCGGTGTGTCCGATTTCCACCCACGGTATAAAAAAAAAAAAAATATTTCTTTCCATCGATTATCCCTCGGGAGAGGAGGGAAAGGGTCACCGAGGTGACGACAATCCTTTGGGCTTACGTTAAAACAAAAAAGAAAAAGAAAAAAAGAAAAAATCGACCGGTTCGTTTACTTTAATTCAATTTTTCTTTTTTTTTGCAAAACTAAAAGTAAATCGATCCGATGGGGATCCGATGAGAATTTTTCTAAGATCCCATTCGAATCATCCAAACATATTTCGAACTCAATTCCGAATTTTTCATTTCTCTTGCGTGTGACGCGATTTCGCACTCGTATGAGAAAAGGCTCATTTTCCAATTGTCATTTTCCATGCCCAAAAACGTTTTATCGGGAGCGTGACTCAAAAAAAATTTTTCCCGACCGGAACAGGGAAGTCCTTCGGTGAATTTTCTTTGTCTCGGATCGAAATGTAATATTTTAAACCTGAAATCCGGATATATGTATTTCCTCTCTCTATCTCTCTCTCTCTCTCTCATGTTAAAAAAAAAAAAAAAAAAAAAGTGCATCCACGTCGTTTTTCCCATTATTTATTTACCTCCCATTGTTAGTCTTTCCCTTTTTTAATTTGGCCGTCGGAAAACCGCAATTTCCCGTTTCCGATCCCAAATTGAGCGTGTTCACTTCCACGTACAGGGGATCTTGAGTTTTTTCCGCCAATCTCAGGTGAATGGTATCCCCGTAACAAATGGATCGTCCCTCTTTTTTCCCGTCACCGGATTCAATGTAAAAAGCATTACGAGCGCTCGGCGTCATGAACGGGGATCCGACGACGGGTAAATCCTCGGTGAACGTCGAAACTTCTTCGATTCGATTCGCATCGAACGACACGGAAAGATACAAATTGTTGGGATATTTATCGGTCGAATACGGGGGACCAGAAGCAACGTCGGGGACTAGAAAAAAATTATTTTTTCGTAGGTAACGTTCTCGTCGTAGTTAATTCCACGTCTGTTCGAAAACGAACCCGTTGGCGCGTGGATTATTACCTAGTAATTGAAACGGTCCGCCGAACGACAAACCCCACGTCGGACGACATAAATTAACACTTTTCAAAAAATAATCGAAAACGTTTCGAACTCTGAGAGTCAACAATTTTCTCCTTTCTTTTTGTTTCAAATACAACGCGAATTTATGTTCGAATTCTGCTTTGTCGTTAAACCAATTTCCAAGCAAAACGTTATTGTTATAACAACTCCGCGGCGGTTCCATATAATAATAATAATAATAATAATAATAATAATAATAAAATTACCGAAATGCGATGAAGTAATAATAAAAATATTTTTTTTTTTTTTCCCCACCACGGGGTGAGGGAAATCGTCGGGGAACGAGAAACGGGGAAAAAATTTCCCTCGAATGCAATTTCGCCAACGTAAACAAATTTTTTATTTACCTTCGAAGTTTATTGAATTCCGCGTTCCAACTTTGAGCCGATTCTATGGCTTCTTTCAATGGATCCATGTCTGCTCTTTCCGCAGCCTGTTTTTCTCTCAATGCTGAAAAAAAAATTTAATAAAAATCCTTTTGATTCATTCAAGTTTTTAAATGAAACAAAATAAAAAATTTTATAATAATAATAATAATAATAATAATAATAATAATAATAATACCTCTTTGCTCTTTGGCTTTTTTCTCTCTCGTATATTTTCTATATTCGTCAAATTTATGAGGAAAATCATTGTACATAATTTCAATTATGTCGGCCGAATAAACGGCTGTCAAACCTGAAACGATACAAAAAAAATAAAATAAATAAAAAAAATTTTTTCTATAAAAAAAAAACCTACAGTTATTATTATTATTATTATTATTTACCCATGTCGCACATGTTTTCGGAAACGAAACCGTTTTCCTGCAAGTAATTCCTTTCTTCCATTTCGACTTGTCTCCTTTTTATCGATGGATATTTTCTCTTGAAGGATTTGACACCCAAATACTCCGAGATTTGTTCTTGTATCATGAGCCATTCGGGTTTTTCGCCGTGAGGAAGACAGGATTGGGGAGGCCAACAATATTCTACTATTTGCTGTACCGTGACCGGCTTACTGAAAAGGCAAATCATATTGTTAAGGTTCGAAGGTTTTTCGAGTGATTTCGTTTACATAAAATTATTATTATTATTATTTTCATTACCACCCGTCCGTCAATATTTCCATTCTACCCTTTTTATTTATGCTGGTTTTTGTGGGCCCCTCGCCAGTGGCGTAGCTACTTTGAGATTCGTCTCCTATCACGCCTTGGGAACGCGTAAAAAAAAAAAAATTAAATTTATAATTAAATTACACGTAATTTCCTTTTTTTTGCTGAGGGGGGGGGGTGGATAAAAATTTAACAGTTACCAGTCTTCGAGGAAAATCCTCCCTGACCTTCAGAAGCGCTCATTCTTGTTTCTTCTTCGAAATTTTGTATGTTTTCCATTTCGGCGGGTTTCTTTTTCGGATGAGGCCCCCTTTTTTTAGGAATATAAGTTTGCTTTTCTAAAAAAAAAATTTATTAATTTATTTTTTTACCGAATTTAAAACCGTTGCAAAGAATATTCAATAAACACAAACTTTTTCTTTTTTTGTTAGGATTTTTTGTGTAACGCCTCTTAGGAGTTCCTTCGCCATCTTGACGTTCGTTTTCACCGTCAAATTTTTTCCTTTTTGTTCTCGTGGACCTTTTAACCTCTTTGGGTGTTATTGCCACAAATTCTTGAGCGTTAGGTCCCCACGATTCGACCAATGGACTGGGATTGGGTAGTACTTGCTTCCTTGGTCTTCCCCTTTTTCTCGGCGTTGGAGGGATAATAGGAACGGGTGTTGGAACCTGTATTTCTCCATTTGTTTCTTCAACTTTGATTTCTGATTGATCTGTTGCATTTGCACTTCTTTAAATTTTTAAAAAAATTTGTTTTTTTAAAAAAATTAATTAATCGAGTACTTTAAAAAAAAAAAAAAAAAACTTACTCTGATTCAATTTTAGTTAAAATATTAGGAAGAGGAGGAGCAGCAGGAGGAGGAGGAAATACTGGGCCCACACAAGCTGGTACTTGAGAAATATTAGTTTCTGTCGTTTCAACATTTGTCGGTATCAATTCAACACTGGCATCATTGCTTTCGTCAAGAGTTATAACTGGTATGCTAGATGTTGGTACTAATTCAGTTTTTGAAGGCAAATTTTCAGAGATTGTTTGAGAAATAATGGAAGTATTTGAAACAGTAACTTTAGGACTTTCTCTCCAGACTGTATCCGATGGGATAGCACTATCAAAATCAGTTTTAATAGGATTTACATTGTTCTCTTGCGAAGAACTCGAGGATTCAAATGGAGGTGCTGACGATTGCAATTCAGAACCTAAAATATAAAATATTTTGTTAGAAATTTGAAAAAATTGTTTTTTTTTTTTTAATATAAATTTATTTTACTTACTCGATGAATGTGAACTATCTAAATATCCATCTGACAGTTGAATAAATTTTTTAGGATGAGGTTTAAATGAAATTTCACTTCTTGAAAAAGGTTCTACATTTATATTTAACTTTGAGTTAAACACTTCAAAAGGTTCTTCATTTTTTAATTTCGATAAAATCACTGATTCATTTTTATTATTTAAAATTTCACTTTCTTCGACAGTACTACATTTGTTTTCAACACATTGAACTTTTGGATTTTGATTTAATTTTTTAAAAACTTCGACTGAATTTTTTGGACAATCAGAGGAAGTTAAAATAGTCCTTATAAATGCGGTTGAATTATCTGAATTTTCTACTTCCGGCTCTTGAGAAAAATTTACAACAGGTTTATTTTGTAAAAAACTAAGCAAAGTTGATGTTGATGAACTTTTTTTACTTGTTTCTTCAAAAGAAGAATAAATTTCTTTAGGACGTTCATCATCGTCATCAGGTTCAGGCGAACCTTCCTTTGTCATAGTTTCTTCCTTAGGTGTAATTTTGTAAATTTCGTCTGAATCTGTCATGACTAGAATATGAGTTTTTTACAATCTAAAAAAAAAAAAATAACAAACTTTGTTAGACTACTGTAAACAAATAAAAACCATTATACATTAACCTTTTTTAAAATGAATTTCAATTTGAAAAAATTAAAAAACCATAAATTTAGTAAATATTTCTCTTATTTAAAACTATTATTTTCGTATAATACGATATAAATATAGTAACGAATGTAAATCAAAAATATTTAATATAATTTGATTTCATAAACTTAACCAAAGTTGGTTACGTTAAAACCGATATACATTACGATAGAAAATCACTCACAATTATTAAATACTTTCGATTAATTATAAAATAAAAATTAAAATATATTTACGACGTCCATAAACATAAAAAAATTAAAAAAAAAAAAAAAAAAAAAAAGAAAAACTTGTAAATAATTTATTTCATTAAAATAAAACTAGTAAGAGTCGTTACCGACTCGGTAATCAATACTGCCATCAAAACAGAATAATTTCCGCCATTTTGATTTTAGTATTACAAGTTAAAAAAACCGGTAAAAACAAAACTGACGTTTATTTATATTTTTGTTTTAAAATTAACGGAAAAAAAAAGTAATACCTGATGTGTTTTACTATAATGTCGTTTTCGAAGTGTTTTTTATTTGAATTATATAATTTATAAGTGTGACATTTCAAAGTTTTTTTATTTAACGATGAAAAACGAAAACTCACCAGAAGAAATCCTTCCTAACCTATTTGATTCAAATATAAAAAGAAAAGAAATTGCTGGAATGTTCTAGAGTAAGTTTATTTATATATTTATTAAAAAAGGTTTACATTTTTCCAACTAATTATCATCTATTTACATATAAAATAATTCGTAAAATAATAATAATAAATATTTTAGCAAGACGACGCCATTACAAATTATTTATCGAACAATCTTAATAATACAATTCTAACAGAAACTTACAAATAAAAGATATTATTAATATTATTATTAAAAGTAACCATAACTAATATAATTCCCATTTAAAAAATATTTATAAATATATATTTTCTTATCAGGTACCGCAATTAATAACTAAAAAATCATAAATAATATTTTCCCATATAGGATGATCACATATATAAAAAAAAAAAAAAAAGGAAAAAAAAACTTTGCCCCGGTAAAATTGTCCCACGTACGTTAAAAATTATCAGTTCGAATTTCAGTAACCGACGATTAAATTAATTTTATTATAAGTTACCATTGTTTAATTATGTTTATCATCTCGTAATTGAAGTCTTTTTATCATTTTCCGTTGTCATTTTATCGACAACGGTTTTTTTTATTTCTTCGGATTGTTGTTGTTGTTGTGCGGGTAGTTCAAAAAGTGGTTTGAACCCTCCGATTAATTCAGGTTTAAAATTATCGAAATTAAATTTTGTCGTAGAGGGTTGAGTAGTTATATTTTCCGTTTCCGGTTCGATTTTTTCATCCGTAGTACCTCTAACAACAGTCCATCCTTGATTGTTTGTATATGTGTTATTTGAATTAACACTCGAACTTGCTTGAAAAGGTGCATCGAATCCACTTTTGTTTAATTTATTATCATCATCATCATTATCATCATCACGTTCTTTTTTAACGTCTAAAGGCATGGAAACGGTTATTATTTTACCATTTGAAATCCTTTCGTTAACATTTAATTTAATTTGTTTTTTATCATTTTTGTGTAGGGGCACGTTTGAAACTTGACCTTTTCTTTGACCCCCATCTGACATCGTATGCATGACTGCACCCAATGTGAATGCTGAATCTTTATCGTCTGCTATCGATGTTGAATATTCGCTAGGTGGATTCAATTGCACGCTTTCGTTTTCTTCGGTTTTCTTATTCGATTCCTCATTTGATGAATATCTATAATGATTTTTGTGAGAGTTTGTTGGCGACCTCAATTCGTTCCATTGATTGTTACTTTGCAAATGTAAATTCATGTCAATTCTTTCGTTGACTTTGTGTGATTTGTCAACAAGGATTTCCGATTCGGTTTCCATTTCTTCTTCTGCTTTATCATTTGAAACGGTTTTAACTTTTACTTCACTTTCTTTTGTTTTTTCACGGTCCGACGGTTGAGAGATTTCATCATTTCCTTTTTTCATTGGATTTAATAATGGTTTTTGTTCTTCGACTTTGGTAAAATTAAAAAATTTTTCTTGATTTTTTTTCGAATCTTCAACTATGAATATTTTTGAATTATCCGGAATTATTTTTTGGGGAGGTTTCGCCGGATAAACAATGTAAATATTTTCTTCATCTTTTTTCTGTTCGTTATACGTGTTGTAAAATGGTGGTAGAAAAGATGATGAGGAATGGTCGTAGTAGTTGTTGTCATCTTCTTCTCTGGTAACTTGAGTTTTTTGCGTTTTCACTCCCGGTGTGTGTTTGAGCATTTGTAGTGTCGTAACCGGAGTTCTTTGAAGTCTTCGTAATACTTTTGGTCCTTGTGGTGGATTATGAGAAAATTCAAATTTCCCGTGGAAATTTTGCGGAGTTTGACCGAATCTTTTTTGAACTCCGTGATTCGTCCATAATTCAGAAGGAAGTTTTCCTCTGTTCGTTATGAATTTCGGTACGATTTCCTGTCCTCCCATTTCATAATCTCTATGCGGTGGCCCCTCCTTATCCGGGTATTGAATGTGATATGGAAAATTTCCGTGTTCTTTATCGTGATACCGATTGACTCCATTTCTTCTATTGGGTATAAATCCGGGTGGTGGTCTGTGGTAAGGACCGCTACCGATTTTTGTATTCGGTCTAAATTGTGGCAAAATATTTGGCAAGTTTGGCTTTGGCTTAATGTTGGTTGAGGCTTCGTTAAAATTTTTACGAATCGGTGCCATCATGGGAGGAATCGGTCTTCTATATCGTTGCGGAGGACTGCTAGGCGGTATTAAAGTCGGTGCAATTTGTGGCGGCGGCGGCGGTGGCGGTAATCGATTTAAATCATTTTTGTTCGGTGACGTATTAAGTAAAAATGATGGTTTTCCATTCTTTTCCCAATGCGGTCTCGGGTAATTGATTGTACTTTCTTTGTTTTCTGCTTCTGGTGCTACGAAATTACCTTCAAATGTTTTTTCTGTTTGCGTATCTTTCGGTGGCACTAACTCAAGCGGTAATTCATCATCGGGTTTATCCGGTAAAGTACCATATATCGGCCTTCCCAATTCTTGTTTATTCGAAAATACAGGAGCCTTTAGTACCGGACCGTTTTGATAAAATTGTCCTTCTTTCGGATTGAATATAACATGTTTTTGAGGTTCTTGAGGAAACCTGGTTCCCTTGTCCTGGTAATGAGGAACGTTTGAAACAATTTCTTTTATGTTATTCAATTCCGGTTTTTTCTTCAATTGATTTTCTTTTAATTCTGGATTTAGTTGAGGTTTTGAAAATATTACGTATTGTCCCGGTTTCGGTTCTGTTTGAATTCCTTCGAAATCGTAGTCTACATCTCCGGGTCGTATGCCAACTCCAGCCGACGATTCTCCTGGATGATGAAATTGAGGACTCGGAATGAAATCGTGCGGTTCGTGATGATCAACGTTTTGAGAAGAAAGAATTGCTGGTAATGGTCTTTTGTTAGGCAATGGTTTACTTTCTGGTGGTCTTGGAATGTCTTCGTGAACCTGTGAAAGTTATCGATTATTTACGGTTTTAGTATAAAAAACAAATCACGTGTTCTTTAAAAACTTACCACTTGAAAACTTGCTGTCATTCCTGACGGTTTTGGAATCGGTCTAAAAGGTTCATCATCATCATAAGGACTCGCTGGAAGTGACGAAGCTACGTAAACACCTTGATGTAGAGGAGCGCCTCCTCCAAAATTTTGAATTTGAGTGTTTCCTACGTGTCCGTGAACGGCTCCTACTGTGAATTCAGTCGTGTATCCAGGATAGTTAGAATGAATAGGTTCTGGAATTTTCGAAATGGTAGGACGTACGGGTCTGGGAGGTACGGTGGATTGTGGAAATTTTTCTTCGACTCTTTCCTTGTTCTTATTTGTATCTTTTGTAGGTACCAACACAACATTAACATTACTCTGTTGCTCTTCCGAATCTTGTATTTTAGATGGTACCGTAATAGGTACCACTGTCGATTCAACCGTCGGTTGTTTATTCGTAGTGAAAGCAGAAAAATATTTTGTCGTAAAATCATTCTGTGGGGATTTTTCGAAAACCGGAGCCGGTTCTTTGGCAGAAACAACATTCGGCCTATAAAATTCAATGGTTGATTGTTTAACGTTTGTAACAAAATCCGATTCTGCAGGTTTCGATGTTGTCGTAGTAGTCGAAGAAGTTGTAGCATCCGTCGGTTTTGTTTGAGTTGTAGGTTTTGGCGTTGTTGTTGTAGTTCTTATCGTCATCGTCACTGACGGAGCATCATAATCTTTTTTTGAAGTGGAATCAGAAACGGTCGATTGTTTGTTATTGTCCGTGTAATTAACCGTGTAAAAATTATGATTTTTCGATGGAACAACGACAGCTACCTTTTCGTTTGTAGGACGTGATTTAATAATATCTTTGGGCAAATTTGGATATTTTAATTTTAGTTTAGGTGATGGAGTTGTCGTAGTCGTTGTCGTCGTCGTCGTCGGCGTCGTACTTTTCACTGTCGTCAAAGAAGGAGGTGTCGTCGAAATGTCAACATCGTAATCGTAATATTCATATTCTTGCTCACTTCCCGTAGCTATCGGTTCTTTATATTCCGATTCATATTTGTTAAAGTTTTCCTGTGGGTAGTTAACAGGCGGTGAATATTTTTGACCGGGTGGTCTTAATTCTTCTACTTTTGCCGGAAACATATCGTAGTCGTAATCTTCTGCTTCATTTTTTTCGTAAACTTTTTCCGTTGGTTTCGCTGTAACGATTTGTTTTTTCTCTGTTGTCGTTGTTGTTGTAGTCGTTGGCTTTTTAACCGTGCTACTACTTTGAATTTTTTGTATCGCCGTATCTTTATAGGTCACAGTCGAGGTTGCTGCGGGTGAAACGGTTTGAATATGTGGTTTTTCATCAACTTTTTTCTTCGAACCGTAACTTCCTAATGCAGGTCCTAAACCTAAAGGCATACCGTTAAAATTAATTCCATCTAAATCGCTGGTTGTTAATACATAATTTCCGGAATTTTTTATAGATGCTGAATACGGTTTGTTCGTCACGGTTCCTTCCGCATTATATTTAATCGTACTTTCCGTTTGTTTCGTTGCCCAATAATTTGGCGTTTTCGTTGTGCTCTCACTACTACCACCACCACCACCACCACTTGTATCGTATTTGTGATTTGGGTATTTTCCATTGCTACCTTTTTCGTATTTATATGCTCCCATTCCTTGAATTTTAGTATTTGCGTAGGAAGAGGATATTAACGGTATAGCCGTGTCTTTATTACTGTACTTAACGGGCAAGTTAAGAAGTTTATAAATGTTTGGATTATCGTGTACATTTGGCGGTTTGACTTCGTTCACTTTCGTTTCGATAAAATTTTGATGCGAATTCACCGTGTAGGATTTTTGAGTTGTCGGTTTTGTTTCCGGTTGTTTGAAATAAGTTGTTGTTGGTTTTGTTTCCGGTTGTTTGAAATAATTTGTCGACGGTCTTTCCGTTTCGAATCGTTTTTCGGTTGTTTTATCATATGGATTCCTATTAAAATAATCATTTTTCTTTTGTATGCTTGGAAATTTTAACTTTTGTTCGTATGTAGGTTTAGGAGAAGTTTTAAAGGTAGTAGTGGTAGTGGTGGTGGTGGTCGTTGCTGTTGAGATGACAGGACGTAATGTGTTACGTATAGGTGTGACCGGAAGAGGAGGAGGAGGAGGAGGGGGCGGAGAATATATTTCACGTGGAGGTGTGATAACTTTTTTATCAAGAAATTCTTCTAAATCGTAATCTTCGTATCCGCTAGTTGGGCGAGGTTTGTACGATTGATAGGGTTTTTCCGTCATGGGTCTATACGAACTGTGATAAATCGGTTTACCCTCGTTGTTGCTGTTGCTGTTGGGTTTATACCCGTGTCTGTTGGATTGACTGTTGTGAAAATTATTAACGATACGAAATTCCGGTACGTCATCATCATCATCATCATTTTGTTGTACGAGAAATGTATTTTTAGTTTTCGGTTCGGGTTCTTCAGCTGGTTTTATAGGTTTTAATAAATCCCCAACGGTTTTTATATTTTCTTTTAAATTTAAATCGTCGGCATCTTTAAAAATGGGTTCTTCATCTTCGGATATTGTTTTTCTTTTTATTTGAGAATCTTCATCGGTACTTCCGAACAAACTTTCAAATATGCTAAAAAAACTATCTTCTTCTTTTCCCGACTGAGGAGCGGTCGATGATTTTTTATTCGGCATACCCACGGATTCGTCATTAAAATATTCATCGTCTGATCTTTTCACCGAATAATGTCGACGTTTATCATCATCGACATATCCTGTAAAATCATCATTATCATCATCGGAAAATAATCTACTTTTGACATTTTCCCTACCGCTTTCTACGTTTTTAAAACTTTGAGGAACTTTAGTACCCGTCAATTTTCCAACCGGAACTTCCGTCGATTTTTCTTCGCCATCCTTTAATTCTAATTTTTTTACTCTGTTAAGTACGTTTACGTTATCCCCATTAGAATCCGATTGAACTTTAACAGTATCGGATTTTAAAATGAACGAAGGTTCATCGACTTCTTCCTGTCCGTTGGCGGTTAATTTAAAAATTTTCGAAACCGGCGTTCCATTCGTACTAGAATTTAAATATCTTCTAACTAATATTTCCGACGTATTATTATTATTATTATTATTTTGTCCCGCGGATTCAACGATCGTCAAATCGACTATTAATAATAATAATAATAATCCAAATAAGTGAAAAATACCATTACCTTCCATTTTTTCACCTGGAAAAAAAAGGAAAAAAAATTTGCAACATTTCCATTGATTTTATTGATTAGTTTCGTTTTACCAATTAATCAATAATAATAATAATAATAATAATAATAATAATAATAATAATAATAATAATAATGATAAATTTTTCCGACGCATTGTTTTTAAATTAATAATAATGATAATAAAAGAAAATCCTTTCACGCGAGAGTGATTTATATGTTTTACGAATAATTAATCTAAATTTTTTTTTTTTTTTTTTAACGTGACCCCTAACGCATTTGAAAAATAACGGTTTTTTTCGGTTATGTGTTACCTCCTTGACCTTGAAATCTCGGTTGCGCGATAACAAGTAAAAGCTGTTTTTAATTTTTCTTCTTCATCGAACCTGATTTTTTTCTTGTTTTTGTTGTTGATATTTTTTCCCCTCCTCATCCTCCTCCCCCTCCTCTCCTTTTTATAATTATTGATAATATATTTTTCGAGGGATGATACTACGAACGGAAGCCATTAAAAAAGAAATAATAATGATGATGATAACATAAGTTTTTTTTTTTTTTTTTTTTTTTTGAAAATTTTTTGGATACGAAGTGGGCGGGGAAGTGGGAGAGGGAGGAGGGAGGAGGGAGGGGAGGGGAGAGGGAAGGAGGAAAAAACGTGGAGTTAGAATTTAACGATGATATTTAATTTATTTTAATTTTGTTATTTTTCTTCCTTATTTTCGTAGGAAGCGACGGATACGACGGGTAGGAATGCGCGTTTAAATTATTATTATTATTATTATTATTATTACCACAACCTACTTAAATTTTTTTTAGGTATGTAAGAAATAAATCATTCCTTTATTATTATTATTATTATTATTATTATTATTATTATTATTATTTTACGAAAAAACCGTAGAAAAAATTTAGCGCCATTTTTTTTTTCGACTTTCCTCCTCCTTATCATAAAAAATTTTTTTTCATCGTTTATTAAAAAAAACTCCGGTGAAATTATTATTATTATTATTATTATTATAATTCAGGTACGTGGCGAAAAGTTAAGAGTAGAACTTTATAAAAGGCAAAACTAAAAATTTAAAAAAAAATAAAATCCCTTCCGGGGATTCGCTATAATAATCGACCCGAAAAAAAAAAAATTGGCAGTTTAAACGAGAATTTTTTTATTATTATTAAAAATCAAAATATCTGGCGCCACGTCTTTTTTTTTTCCTTCTTCTCGTAATTATCATTTCCGCCGCGTTTCTCAACGTAAAGCTGCTTCATTTAATTTTTTTTTTTTTTTTTATTAAATTTTCAAATGGAAAATGAAGAAAATTTGAGAAAAAAACCGATTTGGCAACCTAGAAATTATTATTATTATTATTATTATTATTATTATTATCATCATCATTATTATTATTGAATTTCGGGGTTAGTAGTTTGTTAATTAAAAACTCTTTGTTCTTTTTAAAATTAGAAAAAAAAAAAAAAAAAAGCTTTCGTTAAAAAAAGTGGGAAAGAAATGAGAGCAGAAAAAAAAATGTGTTAATAATTTACGCATAAAACAAACAAACAAACAAACAAACACAACGAACGAACAAACGTTTTTTTTTTTTAATTAATTTTTGAATTCGAACGGTAACGTCGTATTCGTTACTCGCGCGAGTCAAAAAATTTAAGTATTAATTATATGCAAACAACTCGCGAGTAGTCGACGTGGTTAAAGAATTAATAATAATAATAATAATAATGACAAACGTAACGATTTTTTAACGACGACTTTTTAAAAAGAAAAATTTTTTTTAAAAACCAGGTCAAATAGTTTTTAAGTTGGCAAAATATAAACGTGTAAATAGAAATAAAATAAAAAAAAAAGGAAGAAAAAAATTTTTTTTTTTGAAATAATAATAATTATCGTGTCATTTACAAAATAATAATAATAATAATAATAATAATAATAATAATAATAATAATAATAATAATAATAATAATAATAATAAAAGTTTTTGACGTAAATTTTTTTTTTTTTTTTATTTAAATATGGAAACGTCGCGGGTTTGTGCGTTTGTGCGTTTGCGTGCGTGTTTATACACTCTATGACCTTGGTTTGTCTTGAACTTTTAGCCCTCTTTTCGTGACAATCCACTTTCTTTTAAACCTTGGCCTTGTTACCGGTTGAAGGCGTCTTCCTCAACACCAATCAAATTTTCTATCTCTCTCTCTCTCTCTCTCTCTTATTATCATTATTATCATTATCATTTTTATTTATGTAGCAGAAGACAAAAAATCGCGACGTTTATTTTTATTTGAAAAAAAAAAAATTATAAAATTCGAATCGGAATTTTTTTTTCTTCTTTCTCCCTTCCCCCGCTTGTTGATTTCCGATATTTTATTTCCCCTCCCCCTTCCGTCGTCTGCACTCTTTCCGTCGTATCATCATCATCATTATTATTATTATTATTATTTCAAAATAAAAAATTCATATCCGGTTTTCGAAACGATCGCAAATAATTAAATTAATTTGAATCCCTTCTCATTCTTTTTGATGATGATAATTTTCAAATTCGAAAATTATTATTATTATTATTATTATTATTATTATTATTATTGTCTCCAGTCATTATTATTATTATTATTTTATAGCGCTATAATTTACGTCACGAAATATTCTTTCAAAAAAAATTTAAAAAAAAAAAAATTATTTTTTTTTTGCAAACTTACCTTTTCAAATAATTCATTTGAACGAAAAAATTAAAAAAAAAAATTCGAAAAGAAAATTATTAATAAATAAATAAATAATTTAACTAACGCACATCCGCACTTTTCAATAAATTAATTAATAAATAAATAAATAAATAAAAAAGAAAAAAAATTTTGTTCAGAATCCGATGACCCGAGTATGTTGTTGTTCGCATTCGATGAAAGTCAACACAAAACTGTCTTTTTTTTTTTTTTGTTTTTTTATTTTTTATTTTTATTTTTTTTTTTTACGTAAATAACACTAATAATACGAGAAACGAGATTATTATTATTATTATTATTACGATGGTCGTGGTACGAGTCAACGATTCGATATAAGTATGCCTTAGGATCAAAAAAAATTAAAAAAAAACAGGAGTTGGATATATAAAAACGGTGGGGAAAGAAAGTGGGAGTGGGAGGGGGAAAAGGAGGGGAGAAGGAGGAGAAAAAGTACCGCCGATTTCTCTCTCTCTCTCTCTTTTCCTTACCTGACTGAATGTTATCGATATCACGTAATTTCCTCTTAATATCTTCCTCTTCTACGTTAAAACCCAACTGAAAAACTTATCATTATTATTATTATTAATCCTGCAACAAATAATTAAATAAATAAATAATTATGTATGTTCTTAAATATTTATTATTATTATTATTATTCATTTTTTTTCGTAGTTTTTTTTTGTTTAAAAATTATTTTTTTAAAACCGGGTTATTGTTTTAATCAATCAAAATTTTACACGGTTGTTATTATCATTATTATTATTATTATTATTTCAGGTAAAATATGAACGTTGTCGCTTAAAATGGAAAATCGACCTCGAACCTTAAATGGATAAAACCGTAAATTTAAATCGTCCATCATCAATGTGACGCTCGTTTTAAAATGTAAGCAATTTGTTTGTTTATTCGTTTGTTTGTTTGTTTGTTCGTTTGTTTAAATTTATAAAAGAAGTTTGAATGGGGGAGAGGGGGTGGGAAAAAAAAAATTTTCTCCAGTCGGTTTATCGGTGGATGTTAATAAAAAAAATAAGTTAAGGGGAAAATCGATTGATTGGTGGAAAAGTGGGGAAGGAAGGGAAAATTTTTAAGTTTTTCATTATTATTATTATTATTATTACTGTCGGAAAATTGGAAAGATGAAGGAGAAAATCTTTTGTTTTCTTAACAACCCTTGAACGACAGACAATTGTTTCCTTCGTTCAAAAACCTTATACTAAATTAAGTAAGTCGGTATTATTATTATTATTCAACCTTGAAAGCGAAACAAAAAATTTTTTTTAAAAGTAAATCCTTAATAAGAAAGTAAAAGGAAGTATTAAATGTAAATATAATAATAATAATAATAAAAAGAAGGAAAGAAAACCGGAAACCGATAAAATTGTGACAAAAGAAGTTTTTTCTATTTAAAAAGAGAAATTTGTCGAAATGTTGGAAAAATAAAAAATAAAATTATACGTGGGAGAACAAAATAAATCGGTTAAATCAAAAGTCGATGAGTGGTAAAATCTAAAAAGGAAATGACATGACGTGGGATTAGAATCTTAGTTTATTAAAAAATTTATTTAGCATGCGGAATGTAATAACGACGATGATGATAATAATAATAAATGGGGGAAGGAGCCTACTACGCCAAATAGAACTTGGGCGTACCAAAATGCCATTGTCGGGATGGGGAAATATATTGAATCCCATCAACAGCACCGCCTCATCTTAGCCTAAATAGTGGTAATGGAGGAAAAGATTACGAAAAGAAGAGTTCTTAAAAAAGTACGGCAAATAGTAGAGGAAAAGAAAGAAAACGAATTGGAGGAAAGGCAGCTTGGAAGTTATGATAGCAAAGCTCAATCCCAGAAGAAGGTAAAGGGCAAGTGGGAACAGGAAAGGTTGCATGGGCAATATTTGAAAAGGTTCGATAAGAAGAGCACGCACAATTGGCTACGGAGTGGAAAACTTAAAATTGAAACGGAAGCGTTTATAACAGCTGCACGAGACCAGGCTTTCTCTAAGTCCGCCATGATGACATGTGGCGAATTTGCCAATCGCAGTCGGAAACAGTCGATTACTTCATTTCCGGTAGTTCGATATTGGCAAAACACGAATACCTAGAGAGGCGCAATAAAATTTGTCAATATCTCCGTTGGAATATTTGAATATGGAATGGATGGATTACCCAAGGAGTGGTACAACCACATTCCAAGCCCGGTTACGACAGTAGGTCCATGCACAGTTCTGTATGATCAACAAATCCACGCTCTGACGGAACTGTGCCAGCCAACA